TGCATACAACCTCTTTCTCTCATTTGCTCTTTTTGCTTGAGGACAAGCAAAGGACAAGTGTGGGGGAGTTGATATGTTCATAATTTGCATCATTTAGGTTGCATAAATCATTCCAAATCATGTTTTATTTCATGTATTTTAGGTCCTTAGGGTTTGTTTTAGAACTTAGGAGATGCATTAGGTCCCAATGAGTCTTTGCATGTTTTGAGTGTCTATCAGGTGATTATGGAGCTGAAAAGATGAATCCAGGAGGTGGAATGGTGAGCAGAGCTTGAAAAAGTGGAAAACTTGAGTCTATGGAGGTTATCGGCCATTCTCGCTGGCCAGGAAGGTTTTACCGGCCATTTTCATGTACCGCGGGAAGCTTTACCGGCCATTTTCACGTACCGCGAATTAAGTATATCGGCCAAAATCTCCGGGTGCGAACGAGTCTCAGAAATCACCTGTCCGGGGAGCCTTCCGGTCCGATTCAGATGGCGGGTCCTTCATAGAAGTTGGAGAGCATTGAAGCATGGTCTCATATCAATTGGAATCGTAGAATTCGGACGCGTGAGCAGAGAGATAAGCTCGTCGGAAGAAACCCCTGTCTCGCAGGTATTCCGGACCGAGCAGATCAGTTCTGAAGGATGCGAAGGACGGTGCACTTCCAGGCCGATTCAGCTTCCGGGTCCTTCATGAGAATCAGAGACATTTGAGTCTTCTTTCCAGAACGTCCAAGAGCATTCAATTCGGATCTATGAGCAGGAAGATACGGCCTCCGGAATGGACACATGTCTAGACGCCTCTCTCTGGTCGTATACATGCACTGCAAAGATGTGCCCTCCAGGAAGCCTTCCACCTCCCAAGCACTGAAACTTCCTTCACAAAAGTTGGAGATAAATGAGTCGTCTGTCTTCTGCAACCGAAATCATTCAATTCGGACAAGTATCACAGGAGTTACACTCTCCGGAATGCGAAGTGATCTAAGCTGCTCTGGATGCTGCGAGATGGTCTTGCGACTTGGTTAACCCGCAGGCCTGAAGATGAACGCCTGAATGCTGATGCTGCGAGTTGAAATGTGCGGGTAAACTATCACTGGAAGAGGTCTGGAGCTCCCGAGCAAGAGAAATGCTAAGTCCACAATCGTGCGACTTAGGCATGCGAGTCATCCGTGCCTGGATCTATGCCGCACGATCACTCGGAATTCACTCCGACTTGAGCCTGCGACCTAAGTGCAATAGAGACCAACCCGCACAGTTTCTACATCCCCCAGAAACCGGCTCAGCCCTGCGAGTTGGAGAGGAAGGAGACCATGCCGCAGAAACACTCGCAATTTACTCCTAGATAGGCGTGCGGCTCCGACAAGGCGATTCAAGCCTCACAAGACAAGTCTTCATCTACTGCGACTTAGGTGTGCGGCCTGGGACATACTGAACCGACCCGCAGCTTTTCCCACTTTATCCATTAAAGCCGGGTCAGGACCCGGTTTGTTCCGGGCTGACCCGGTTCGTTTTTAAGAAGGTATAAATACTTTTTAGGGTTTTTTGGGGGGAGAACTAAGTTTTATTCCCTTTGTCTCTTGCCTCTTTTGTGAAAAGACTCCATTAAGAAGAGAAATATCTATTTTTGAGTGTTTAATCAAGAGAGTTTTAAGAGATCTGGGTGTTTAAAGCTGTTTACTTTTGAATCTATCATCTCTATCTCCATTTCTCATCATTAATCATGCTAATCTTCTCAACTTGCAAAGGTTTAAGAGAGATTAGTATGATTAGTGAGTAATCCCATATTAAGGTCTTAGATATGTAGATTAGGGTGCTTAAGTGGTAGATTAGCGAGCTTAGGGGTTAGATCATGCATATTCCATTCTCTACAACTTGTTCTCTATGCTAGATCCATACAAATCATATGTGGTCTAGATTCTGGGCATTTCATGCACCAAAAGTGTTTGATGAAATGCCTGAACCAAAGTTGTTAGAGGTTTAAGTGTTATTCATCATGGGAATGATTGTTTATATGCTTAAATGACAGATTAAACTGATTCTTAATGCTTGTTAACTCATGTTTCACTGATGATGATTGGGTTTGGAACTGATTTAGCATAGGAGTTAATGCCTTCATGAGAGGATTAGCTTAGTTAGAGATGTTTATGTTAAATGGCTTGCTTGATCATATGATTCATTAGCTCATTAGTTTATCACTGAAGGCACCCTAATCCACTATCATGTCTAAGACCTTTCTTATCATCATTCATACATTCTCATCATTTGTCATTGTTTAGTTCTTGTTTAAGCATTTCATTAATCCTTAATCCTGTTTAAGTTTGTAGTTGTCTCTAGATTAATCAAAACCCACTCTTGTTTGCTTGAATTAAGAACTTGATCATATAGCTTAGTGTCTAACACCACATCTGGATTGATAAACCTCTTTGTGCTACATTGACAAGGGGATTGATAGCCCTGAGACCATAAAAAGTCTTATCTATCAGTCCAACCATACAGGATTGTTCCCCCCGACCCATTCGAGGAATTTGACCTCCTATCTGGAGCCGGATCCTCCACCCTCTGCTTCTTCGGATGCGAAGTCCTCTCGGAATCCCGCGAACTGAGCAAGATAGATTTGGACGACGGGTCGGCAGGAAGACCTCCGGCTGGAGTTTCATAAGCTCCGGAGGCTTGTTCGAGCGCATCACTCACAGCTCGATGGATCTCGCCAGTGCGAACAGGACCCGAGCTCCCAGCCTGAGCCCTGCTCTTCCTCGCTTTCTCGGCCTCACGAGCTGACGGTCTTCGAGTCATTTTTCCTTGAGATGGCTTGCGGATCAGAGGTTGATGCGAGGTGCTTGAAGAAGTGGCGTCTGGGACGTCCTAGCGGCCGGTACCTAAACATGAAAAACAATGAACTACGTAATAGCTCGCCATATCGAATGCGTAGCTTGGGCAAAACAAAACGCTCGAACTAACCAATCGGGATCTGGTGGAAATTAGCTGGACGATTGATAGACGGCGGGTTCAACTGGTCAATCTCAAGATTCGGAGTAACAGCGAGCTGCGGGGTATCTGTTCCAAGCGCGCGGCGAATTCTCTCCCTCGTAAAATTGGACCACAAACAGTCGCCGTTCCGCAGAGTAGCAATAAGTGCTCTATCAAAGCCGGTGTTAATCGGAACAACTGTGGAACAAAGAAAAACAAGTAGTCAGCAACAAACTAGTGACATAACTAATAATTCAAACACCCTAATGCTAACCAACTCTCGGAGCCCAGATGGTGGGCAGCCGACTAAAGTCGAAAGATCCGACGGAGTGCGCGTTAATCCGGAAGAAAAAGTACTTTTCTTTCCAACGATCATCGCGAGCCGCGATGTCTTCGAAAACACTGCGACTTTTCGAGGAGAGAGATAAAAAGATCCCGGAAAGGAAGAATTGCTCTTAATAGAGCACACCCTGTGGAGTTCCTCGATTCCGAAGGGGATTCCCGATTCGGCTGCCCTAACCTGTAATGCCAAAGCATGACGAACAAAGTTAGGGTTCATTTGGGGAAACGCGAGTCCCAAATCTGCCAATATCGTACGGAGACCCGGTGGAATGGGGAAAGAGAGCCCGCATGCGTCGAAGAACGGAGTGTAGGCGATGCTGTAACCAGCGCGAACCGTCTTCGGCGTCTCTCCCCTATCCGGAACGACGAGCTCGATCGAAGAAGGAATGTCGTGGATTCGCCGGAGACGAGCGAGATCTTTGGGCGAAATGATTGAAACCGTCGGAATATCGGGATGCTCCATCGCTGAATTTCGGTGAAAAGGAGTTTTCTCGGAAGTTTTGAAACGAGGTCGAAACGATATTTCTTGGATAAAGAAAGAAATTTAAAACAAAGGAAGCAGTTAAAGGAAACAGGAGGGGAGAAGTTACCTTGAAGCAAAGTGGGAAGCGTGCAGTTATGGTGAAAAGACGTGGGAAGTTGATCTTTATAAAGTGACAATTATGACTGCTATTGAGATTGATGTAATTCTCGCAATACCAAATCTGAACCGTTCATCTCTATCTGCGAACAAGATTTTACCATATCTCAATAAGATTAGAATACATAGAATCGAGGAAAATCTTAGCCTGATGGTTGAGTAAATCTCGACCCTCTATTTATGGGAGAATCGATCTGAACCGTACGAACAAAATCTCAAGAGAAGAGGGAAAGTCGAAGTATTCCCATATTAGTCCGCCCCTTTTAGTTCGCAGCTCACTAAACGGGCTGGGGGGCAAATGTTGGTGTTGGATTTAGCATAGATCCGGCCCATACTTCGGACAAATCACCACACAAGCTTTTCTGAGCTTTAAGGCCCATAAACGCAAGAAAGAAGGATCTTGGAAGGATATTCGATAGGACGTGATGAGCTACGAGAATGAGGAAGAGTGGATAAGTGAAGATCCCGAAGATCTCGGAGAGCTCGAGATCGTAACACCTCGCAAATCTCGCAGTAGTTAGCATCGGTCTACTTAGTATAAATAGTAGATCATTTCCATGTAAATGTGGATCCAATTTTTAGCTAGAAACATTCTTGTAAACTTATAGTCTCATCAATACAATCCAAATTCGTCGATCTTAATCTTTTACTTTACATCATTCTTACCAGAATTCTTGTCCTAATTCTTCTTCCACTAAACCAAACACTAAACTCTTGAGAGTGGATTTTAGGATCCATATGACCTGTTTAAGACCATGTTGAGAATACTATGTCCTTGTAGTTCCTTGCATTTATTTAGAGTTTTGAAATATTACTCATATTCTATTTCTTTAGTATTATGGTTAATTTGCCACATTTTTTTTGTTCATGTTAATTGCAGATCGAATGGATTTTGTTCGAAAGCTTGAATTAACATTGTCGTCTTCTCTCTTCTAATGCCATCATAACTGGACTTTACATAGCCAATTCTCTAGAAACTTTGCATCTCACAATTTTTTTTCTTTAATTTCTGAAACCCCCCAATTCAAATCGAAACGAAAGAAAACTTAGAGCACTGAAGAATGAAGAGCAATTCAAATTATTCACAATAATCCATGTAGCCATCTTTCCACAAAGCCAACAGTTATATTCACAAAGTCTAAAAGGAAGAAAGACAAAAACATAGAGGTTCAGACTTGAGACAAAACACTCTTCCTTAGGACTCAAGGAGATATTTACCATATCGAAATGGAGCGATTTTCTTAATCTCCCAACAATATCTTGATAAAAAAATGCTTGTGAGAGAGAGAGTTCTAATCAATGATGGTGTTACCTTCTTCACGAGTTCAAGACTCTTTCAATGGCGGAAACGTAAAACTCTTTGGGCATTGTACCTATGATGGACTCTCGTTTCTCCCCGTTCTTGAAGAGCAGAACTACTGGTACTGCCTTTATCTCATACTCTTCAGCCACCAACGAGTCACTGTCTGCGTTCAGTACATAGCAGTTTAGTTTTCCCGCATAGTCCCCTGCTATTTCGTTTATTATCCTGTGAACCATTCGGCATGGACCACACCAACTCGTGTAGAATTCGACTAGCACCGGGGTTTCGCTTTTCAAGACTGAGTTCTCCCACGATCTTTCTGTAACTTCAGTTGCTGCACATAGTCAAACCGGAAATAGAAAAGGACATAAGAATTTCAAAACAAGAGGAAAACCATCACAAAGAACTATAAGCAGTGTCCTGTCTCCTGTGTAACTGAAAAAATGCTGACAAATACTTCAACATGTCAAAGTAAGCATCTACATTTCTAATCTTTTTGGGTTTTGTGCTAAGCTGTGGAAGTAGACTAGAGTTGTATCAAAGTCAAACAACCAGAAGAAAACAGTGTAAGCCAAGGGTAAGAATGATTTATGAGCATCACAATAGTGGTATGATATAAGTTATACTCATATACATGTTTTGGTTATTCGATAGAAAAATCTTACGTTTTTTTCCATCAAAATAAATGGTTAGATATCAATTTAAATAAGCTCTAGTTGTTGCATTTCATGCCCATTTATAAACTATGAGCTCTAAGGAGCTTCGAGACCATACCTAACCTAGTTTCCTTCACCACTTTTTAAGCGGATTTCGATATTCTCAAGTCTCAACCTGCAAGATCTTCACACTACTCATATTCCATTTCTTTCTTAATCAATTGACAGGTGTGGATTCATGACTCTCACAGATACCTCCAAGTTCACAGAATAACTTCTTGTCACATTTCATGCTCTAATTAAGGAGCTTGACAACAACTATCCTAGTTTAATTGTAATCTATGAGCTCTAATTAAGGAGCTTGACAACAACTATCCTAGTTTCTAATCTCAACCTGCAAGATCTTCACACTTTTCTTATTCCATCCCCCTCTCTCTCTGATCAACAATAAGAAAACTAGCTCGACCTACATTGATGATCAAGATCAAGTTAAACGAAGCACAATAAATCAAATTGTAAATCAATCAAACAAAATACTAATCAAGATTTGAAGATAACAGATTCCGATTGTAAAAGATTCCAGGATTTCTACTTGAAGAACCACACAAATACTCATGATTCATGTAAAGAATCGAGGGAACGGAAGAACTATCTGGAAGATCAAGATCATCAATATACCTACCTTTAGAATCATGCACGCAGAGAGCAGAGAATCGGAGGCGAGAACCAGAGGAAGACAAGAGGGATCGTCTATCGTTAAGAAGTAGAGAGCGAGGGGAGATGTTGGTGACTGGGAAGAGACGCGACGGAGAAAAAATCGGTCGTGCTGAGGGAAATCCAGTGGACTTGAAACATATAGATGACGAAGAAGAAGAAGCCGCCATTGAAGAGTGATTTGAGAAGTAGAGGAGAGTTTTTGGGTTTCGTCAAGAAAAATTAGAAAGTTTGTGGAAAATGAGAAAATGAAGAATTTGATTCCATAATTCCATTATTTGACAGATCTGAGAGAGGTGGGTCCCAGTACACCGAACTATTGTCACACTCTAATCACGTGGTTTTGCAGAACCAGGCCGGTTCAATTGTTATCAACTTATCATACATGGTTCATAAGGGATTAAGGGTGTAGAAATTTGCTAACATCATTTTCTTTTTTTTTTTTGCCAACATCAATTTACCTTAGGCTTTTATTTCAATTTTTTCATGATATAAAAATGTATCATTTATTGATTATCTTATTTTGAATTATTTTGAAGTAATCAGTAAAGAGCCTATTAAACTCTAATCTCATACGTTTTTTCTTTGATGAAATCATTTGAAATTTGATTGAGAAGCATTGCACACATGATATTCTGTTGTATTGATCTTTCTTCTAGATGCCTGCTCACAAAAACTGCCTCGCTAAAAGCCGTCCTCTATGTGACTCCCCACCACTCCTATAACAAGGCAATTTTAGTTACCTATCCGAAACGTCCTTGAGAGCATATCCACTAGTGAACCTTAAGGTTCTTAGACTTCTTTTTTATTAATTTTTTTGTTTTTAACAGTGAAGATACTTTCTTTATTTTGTCCTTTCAATAATGTTCAGCCTCATAACCTGTGAATAGTGAAGATATAAACAGTACAATACAAAAGAAAATGGCATACAAACAAAAGCATCATGGGCCAACCAAGAGCTACCACGTCAATTTACCTTAGGCTTTTTTTTCAATTTTTTCATGATATAAATATGTATCATTTATTGATTATCTTATTTTGAAGTAATCAATAAAGAGCCTATTAAACTCTAATCTCATACGTTTTTTCTTTGATGAAATCATTTGAAATTTGATCGAGAAGCATTGCACACATGATGTTATGGTGTATTGATCTTTCTTCTAGATGCCTGCTCACAAAAACTGCCTCGCTAAAAGCCGTCCTCTATGTGACTCCCCACCACTCCTATAACAAGGCAATTTTAATTACCTATCTGAAATGTCCTTGAGAGCATGTCCACTAGTGAACCTTGAGGTTCTTAGACTTCTTTTTTATTATTTTTTTTGTTTTTAACAGTGAATATACTTTCTTTATTTTGCCCTTTCATTAATGTTCAGCCTCATAACTTGTGAATAGTGAAGATATAAACACTACAATACAAAAGAAAATGGCATACAAACAAAATCATCATGGGCCAACCAAGAGCTACCACGTCACTTAAAGGTAGTATGCTCAAACCCTTAATTAAGAGACAGTATAATCAATAACTGGATTTTTTTATTTATTTTTTGCTTATTTGCATAGGATACTGGGCCATAATACTCATCTAATATTCCAATGGACATGGTCTGATGTCAGATCATCAAAGAGTCTGACTCAGTTTCCTAGTCACTGAGCTATAAACAAATGCTTGGAAACAAAGTAATTTTAATTACCTCTCTAAAATGTCACTGCTACCAAAAAGTAGATATGCTTTCCCACTTTTTTGAATGATTCAGTTTGGTAACACTGAGCTATAAAAAACACTGAGCTATAAATAAATGCATCGTCCACTGTATGATATACTATAAACATGGTAATCTCAATTATTTCTTTGAAATGTCTTTGATGCCAGAACGCAAATGAGATTTTCCCATTGTTGAATAACTCAGTTTCTTAGTCACTAAGCTAATATTTATTACATCTTTGAAATGTTCCTGATAAGCAAATAACTCGGTTTCCTAGTCACCGAGCTATAAACACATGCCTTGTTCGTTACCCCTTTTAAATGTTTCTGTTACCAGAACGCAAATGAAATTTTCCAATAACTCAGTTTCCTTATCATTGAGCTATAAAAAACTGCCTCATTCCAGAAATAATCCAGGTAATCTTAGCTACCTCTCTGAAATGTCCCTGATGCCAGAACGCAAATGAGATTGTCCCAATTCTTTGTATTACTCGGTTTCCTAGTGACCGAGCTATAATACAAATGCCTCGAGAAACAAGATAATGTTAAATACCAGTCTGAAATTTCCCTGACGCTAAAATACGCAAATGAATTTGTCCCTGCCTCTTTGGATTACTCAGGTTTCTAGTCAACCGAGTTAAACACCTAAATGCCTTGTCTTGGTTCTACTGAAGAGATAAGATGATTCTCTCTTTGAGATTCTAGTCACTAGGCTATATTAAAAGCCAAAAGATCGTCCTTGATGCTAGAATGCAAATGATGAAGTTGTCTCACCTCTATGAGATGTACCTGATGCCAGAACGCAAATGAGATCGTCCTAATTCTTTGAATTACACAGTTTCCAAGTCCTCGAGCTATAAACAAATGCCTTGTCCCATAAACGAGGTAATCCTAATTACCTATGTGAAATGTCCCTGCTATCAGAACGTAAAAGAGGTTATTCCAAGACTGATCTGTATTACTTGGGTTCCCAGTCCAGCATAAACAAATACCTCGTCCTAGAAACAAGGTAATGTTAATTAAAATATTCCTGATTCCAAAACGCAAATGAGATTGTCCTGGCCTCTTTGAATAACTCAGGTTTCTAGTCACCGAGTTAATTAAACACATAAATCCCTCGTCTCGGTTATAATAAAGAGATACAATATTTATGATTATCTCTCTGGAGTTGCTTGAGACTAGTCCCTCGAGCTAAATGAAAATCTAAAGAACGCCCTTGATACTAGAGTGCAAATAAGGAGGTTGTCTCACCATTTTGACTAATCGGGCTTCTAGTCACCCGAGTTAAACACATAAATGCCTCATGAAGAGATACGATAGTTATGATTCGCTCTCTGGATTCACTTGAGATACTAGTCACTCAAGATAAATTAAAAGCCAAAAGAACGTCCCTGATGCTAGAATCCAAATGATGGGATTGTCTCACCTCTCTGTAATGTCCCTGATGCCAGAACGTAATTGAAATTTTCCCAATTCCCTGATTTACTCGGTTTCCTTGTCACTGAGCTATAAAAAAGTGCCTCGTTCCTACAAATGAGTTAATGTTAATGATGACCTCTCTGAAATGTCCGTGATGCCAAAACGCAAATGAGGTTGTCCCTGCCTCTTTATATTACTCAGGTTTCTTAGTCACCTGAGTTAAACACACAAATGCCTTGTCTCGGTTAAAATGAAGAGAAAGAATAATTATGATTCTCTTCTCTCTATGGAATTGCTTGAGATACTAGTCACTCAAGCTAAATGAAAAGCCAAAATAAAATTCCCTGATGCTAGAATGCAATGAGGTTGTCTCACCTCGTTGGACTAATCAGGTTTCTAGTCACCCGTGTTAAACAGAGAAATGCCTCATCCCGGTTCTAATGAAGAGATCAAAAGAACGCCCCTGATGCTAGAATGAAAATGATGAAGCCGTCTCAAGTATGGAGGACATTACCTTTCTGAAGCTACCAAAGGGAAAAGAGAAAAACAAAAGAACGACCCTGATTACCTTTCTGAGGTTAGTAAGCCTATTGGAATTACTGGGTTAGTCATCTGAGTTAAAGACCATCATCTCGGTTCTAAGTGAATGTCTATTATGAGATGAGGTAATTACGCCATTTATGACTCGAAACTTTTAAAGATTATTTTTCTTTCATCTATTTCAGGTATGTGATTTTATATTTCTCTGTATATGATGGTTTATGTCTTAATCAATTGAGTCTAGACATACATAGGACTTCAAAGCTTAATCTGTTTCTTTCTATGCAGGTTGACCTCAGTACCACCAAGTGATTGCCGTGCACACGATGTAGTATCTCAGCAATAAACAAATGTCTCATCGTAGAATCAAGGTAATCTTAATTACCTCTCAAACCCTGATGCCATAACGTAAAGCAGCATGTCCTGCCTCTTTGAATAACTCGATTTCTAGTCACCGAGATATATTACAAATGCCTCGTCCCATTCTATCTACGCTATCATGAGACACTAAAATTGCTTGAGATCCTAGCCACTGAAGTTAATGGAGTTAATGGAGTTTTAAGAGAATTCCCATGTTGCTAAAATGCTACCAAGGTTGTCCTGTCTCTTTGAAATAAGCTCGTGCTTGAGAAGGAGATGAGGATGATAGAAGAGTTTCCGGATTTGGAGTTTGAAGATAAGACAAAGACGCTGAGACAAGCTTGTTTCAAGGCTACCCACAAGAGGTTCAGCTAATGAAGATGGCAATACGGATAATTAAGTTTCTTATTTCTTGATTCACTTTTCGAATAAGCTCGTGTTGTTCCAACTTTATGCTATTAAGAGATGAGGTAATCTTAATTACCTCTTTGAAACTTCTCAAATTCAGAACGCAAATGAGCTTATCCCATGGTTTCTTAGTCTCTCTCAGTAATGAACAAATGCCTCTGTTCATAAACGAGGTAATCTTACTTATCTCTCTGAAACGTCCATGATGCCAGATCACCAATGAACCCTCTCTGAAACGTCCCTGATGCCAGATCACTAATGAACTTGACTCAGTTTCCTAGTAACTTAGCTATAAAAAATGCCTCTAAACCAGGTAATCTTAATTACCTCTCTGAAACGTCCCTAATGTCACAGAAAACAAAAAAAATCAGCTTGTCCCGCGTCGGTTCTAGTCACCAATGTAATCTTAATTACCTCTATTTAAAGTCCCTGATTTCCTAGACTCTCCGCATTAAACAAATGCCTTGTCTATAACATCAAGGTAATCTTAATTACCACTTTAAAACGTCCCTGATGCTAGAACGTAAATCAGCTTGTTCGACATCTATGAGTTTCCTAGTCACTGAGCTATATAACAAATGCATTGTCGTATTCTTGATATTGCTTGAGTTCCTAGCCACTCAAGCTAAAGGAAGTTCTAAAAGAATTTTGTGTTGCTAGGATGCAACTGAGGTTGTCCAGCCTCTTTGATACATACACAAATGAGCTTATCCCACGATTTCCTAGTTTCTCAACAATAAACAAATGCCTCGTCAGAATATAACGTTCCTTGATGCCAGATCACAATGAGCTATAAAAAAATGCCTCCAAGTGAGGTG